ATTTTGCTGATATGATCCATAGAGAAGAGGCTCTTGATTTGTGAGAACCTGTACTCTATTTCCATACTGTGAAGAGGACGATCGAAGTTAAAAACGTTAAGTATCCCAGCATCTGCCATAAAAGTCATATCTCGCTATAGTGTCACTGCTCGCTGATGCAAGAGAAAGAAAGAGTAAACTAATATGCGAAATTGAAATGGTTTAAAGAAAACCTTGAGGGCCTTATAATGAAAATAATGATGATATAATTTCTACCTATGTATGTCGCGTTTGTTACCCTTGTTTGCTTGCTCTAAAAACGGGGATGGATATTAGAGGCCAGGACTGAAAAAGGGTTGAAAAAAGACACTTCTGCTGGTCCGTTCTGGCGGCGCACTCCCAAAAAGATTTGCCAAAAGTAACCGCCGGGAACTGTAGGTTTCTAAATTCTTCAGTGCACGAGAGAGGTTTCAAAAAGCAATTCTAAACGGTATATTTAGGACATTAGGCCAGCTTCAAAATCACTCGCTAAGGAAGTTAATCAATTGATGTAGTTAAGTAACGTTTCCGCCAAACGTGTCGAGCGGACAGACTCCCTCGATCGTTCAACCCCGCAGAGGGGTTAGCGCTCACTTTTGGTAGAAAAAGTGTAGACGCAGTATTTTTGTAACAAAAAGCTTTCTTGACTTATCAACTGATATAGGTAGCAAACTTTTCACCGCACTATTTAAATCTATTATTATTGTGTAACTCTCAAGTCTGAAGCATGGGGTGGGAAAATTGACCAACTGAAGTGGATTAATGGGGACATGACCGACATGACCATGCGGAAAGGCTACTACATTCTCCCAATTCTATAAATACTTTCTTGGTTTAAATAGCTTTAAAAAAAAACGAGCTTCTAGTGTTTGTTGCGGTAGATTGATTCAATATCCTAGGCAACTCAGCTGAAAAAACTATAATCCTGATATATTTTTCATGTGGAATACAGTATTTGATTCGTAATTCTTTCCTCTACGTAAAATTTCCGTCAAAATATTTGCTTTGGCACGTAGTGTAATTATAGTCTATAAAAAAGCAGAATACTTCCTCAAGAGTATATAAAAAGAATTGGCAAATACAGGGAAACAGTCAGTTCCATCTCTTCCGCAAATCAAACTTGTACTCTGTTTAACAAAAAAGGATCAAAAACGACTAAACTAGACAAATAGGGAAATTAGAGATAACTGACTAAAAATATCATTGAAGTATAAAGTAAAACCAAATCAATTCCATCCAGCTATCTTTTTCTGAAGAAAGACACTGATGGAAATCAGTATTTTTACCTATCTAGACTTTATAACTAGTCAAACCACCGACGAGCGACGGCAAGATTAAGGACAAATGATCATAAACTAATAATAGAATATGGAAGATACTGCTCAACCAAAATGCCTGAACATCTTATATATCAGAATATTCAAATATTGTTCTCTTAGTGAAAAGACGCGAAACACTTCATACTCTATTTATTGCTTCCTTTATCTTAAAGAACAACACTTTGTCATTTATCCTATAGGTAACAAATATCGATCCTCATTTGAATCACTCTCTGATCTATGAACTGATATGGTACTCTTTCTCTTAACAGCGGAGCTCCACGCGCGCTCGAACCGCGCGCAATAGACCTTTTACCGATACGGCGACCACATTGAATTAATTCGATTTAAGGGGTATTATAGGATGCCCAGGGGGGAATGAGCACATTTCGTTTGTATTTTCGTGGGCTTTTCGGGACATTTTTTCTTAAAGTTTTCTTAGAATAAGATTGTAATGGGAAAAAAATCCTTGTGCCGTGTTTGGATGTAATAATGATCGCCTTTTTCTAGTTTAGAATTAGAAATATGGTGTCTCACTGTATATTTCTCGGGAAAAAAGCAATCATTATTACATCCAAACACAGCACAAGGATCTTTTTTCCCATAACAATCTTATTCTAAGAAAATTTTAAGAAAAAATGTCTTGAAAAGCGCTCGAAAATACAAACGAAATGTGCTCATACCCCCTGGGCATCCTCTAATACTTCTTCAATCGAATTAATTCAATATGGCCGCCGTATCGGCAAAAAGGTCAGTTGGAGCCATTTGGTAATCTATCCATCGGAAAAATGTTGGTAATCACTTGACCGTAAGGCCGTCCGCACCACAGGAAAACCAATATGAAATGTTAAACTTTCTAGCTAGTGTGGGAGCCTGTGACCCGTGTTTAACTTGATAATGGCATCCATACTAAGGTTAACTGACAGCTGTCAAAACAGGGTATCCGCTGACCAGTGTCACATGATCGTATCGCAGGCTCAGGTGCCAACTCATCGAGGTCACGTGAAAAGTAAAATAAAACTTGTTCCATGGTCCATAACAGGTAACAAGTAAGGGTATTGAGGTGGATGGTTCCGAAATCAAATTAGTTATATTCGCTGATGATATGACATCATTTGTTAGGGACAAATTTTCGCATCGCACCCTTTTTGATACTATCGATCTGTTTAGTACATACTCCGGATTGAAGGTCAATCACGACAAAACGGAAATTCTTCTACTAGGAAATATGGAAGTAAACAGCTCAGAACTAGGTGTTAATGAAATAAGTAAGGCCATAAAGATCCTAGGGGTTCATTTCACCTTTAATCACGCACTGTTTTATAAGCTTAACTTTGAATCAATCGAGAAATCTCTGAGAGGATTGCTGAAGGGCTGGAGCTGGAGAGGTCTTACACTACTTGGAAAAATTCAAGTGATCAAGTCTTTCGCCATACCAAAGATTTTATACAGGGTTGTTCTCATTTCAAATAAAGAAGAGTTTATCAAAAAAAATAAATACTTTGCTATATTCCTTTGTTTGGAAGGAAAAGATAAAGTAAAGCGCAGAGCTTTTATTAACCCTATTGATAAAGGAGGCTTGAAAATGCCCAACATTGAGTCAATGATCTCTGCCCAAAGAATAATTTGTATTAAGAGATATCTCTCCATTGATCCCGCTGGCTGGAAGTTTTTTCTGAATTTTTATCTTAAGAAAGTAGGGGAAAATTCTTGTTTCATTGCAATTTTAACTACACTAAACTACCGGTAACTCTTCCAGAATTTTACAAAAAGAATGCATTGTGGCGTGGACCCTTTTAAATGAAGACAACCCCTCCTCATCCTCTGAAATAGCAAATCAGGTCATATGGAACAACCAGTTCATTTGCATTGAATCAAAGTCAGTCTATAACAGTAGGCTGATTGATCTTGGAATTGTAAAATTGGAGACCTCTACGACACGTGGGGAGGTTTCAAGTCGAACAAGGAACCATTATATTCAACTCTTTCACCAGTTGAACATTTTCTACTTTTCAGTCTCTTCAATGCTTTTCCTGAAGAATGGCGCAAAATATTAAAAACAAATAAAAACTCTATCTCTTCAAAAACTCATGATCTAATCCAAACTGATTTCAAGTTACGTATTGAAGGGAAAAAAAGTCAATTTCAAAATCTTAAATCAAAGTCATTATATGACAGTTTTGTTTCTAAGATATCCAGTATACCAACAGCGCAAAAGAAATATAACGAAACTTTCAGCACACACACATTTCAGTTGGACTGGGAAAAGATATATCTACTGCCCTTCAAAACAACATTGGATACTAAATTAAGAGAATTCCAATATAAAATATTAAACAGGATCTTATACACGAACAAGATGCTGTTTAAGTTCAAAAAAGTAGATTCTCCCTTGTGCGATTTTTGTGAAAAGGAGTTGGAGACCATAGAACATCTCTTTTTCCATTGTACAAAAGTAAGCATGTTTTGGAATGATTTAAAGTCTGTACTTGATTCTTTTAATATAACTATTAGGTTTGATATCATGAATGTCCTTTTTGGGATCTTAGATACAGATAATATAAGCATTCTAGTCAATTACATCATTCTTGAAAGCAAATATTTTATTTACCGCTGTAAGTTAAATAAGGACTGTTTATGTGTAAGACTATTAGTCGATAAATTTAAAAAAACGTTTCAAACCGAACATTTTATCGCGAAAACAAACAACAAAATCCATTTCCATGATAAAAAATGGAAGCCGTTACTCCCATTAATACAACAGTAGCTGTTATTCAAACTTCGTTTTTCTAATACTCCCTGTATTACTCTGTATTTTAAGTTCAAGTCGAATAAGTTATGTAAGCCTTGTAGTGTAGTGCAGTGTAGCTTTTTATTTATTTATTCTATTTTTTTTTTTTTTTTTTGTAATTAAGGTAGTTTTTGTAAATTTTGTAATGTTTGTATGTTTCGATCTGTATGTTGTTTGTACTATACCTGTAAAAAAAAAAAAAATAAATAAAATACAAAAAAAAAAAAAAAAAAAAGGTAACAAGTAGCAGAGGTATATCATATAGATCATGTAGATCATATAACTAGAAATTTGCTATGTAATTATTGTAAACCTCTTATTTCAGTGGCCCCCTTTAATCTGCACTTCGATTGTTTTTAGGGATAGGGGCATTGATATGTGACAATCCCTATTGTTTTCCCAGCTAATCACAAACAATCTTTCAAATAGGTGCGGGATCGCACCCTTTATTGTAATTATCTCCTCATTTACTTAAACGTAACGAGTATTGTAATCGGCAATGCCATCTATTCATATGAAAATGCCAAAAAATTGAATTGAATTAGTTTGTGGCGGTAGATTGATTCAACATTCTGGCAACTCGGCTGATGAATCTATCATCCTGATATATTTTTTAGGTGGAATATTTAGCTCGCAATCCTTTCCTCTACAAAAATGTCCGGCAAAATATTTGCCTGCACGTACAGTACATTGTAGTACTTCCTTTGAGTGGCCTGTTGCGTGAAATGACACGACATAATTCTGATTTTAACACTTGACAGGTGATATAAAAGGTAAGCAATGAGTTAGCAGTTCATTGAACTTCAGCGGCTGTTGTGTTGAAGTTGTGCATCCACTCAGAGTATAAGATTCGACTGAAACATTCTGCAGAAATGTCTGGCTACAAGTTGTTCTTCTTTCCAGGCCGCGCTAAAGGAGAAAAATGTCGACTTGCATTCGCGGCTTCAAAGATTGACTACGAGGACATTCGATTGGCAGTCGAAGAATGGGCAAAAGAGAAAGCGTGTAAGTAACATAAAAGTTCACCAGATTGCTTAAATCGCGCGACGGTTATTTGTTGATTCTTTTTAATTCTGTAATCTTAAATAGCTGTTTAAAAAGGAATGCGAACAAAGCCGACGGCAAATACGCGTACATTCGCTTGATTTTCGATCGAATTTAAAGATTTTAATGATGTGCGCGTCGCGAATGCTTGGTAACTGATTGAAGTAAAATTGCTTAGTCAGGCTGATAAGTGTGCTCGCTCTTTTTTATGGTTTTTGCCGACCACAAGTGGTATAGTTGGTATTATTATTATTATTATTATTAATATTAATAATAAGAGTTACATTTTTAAAATCGACGAGCTCCTGTAATCTACATTTCTTATAGCTTCTGTGGGGGGAAAGTTACTTGTTTTCCGGAATGAGCCTGGCTTTGTATCTAAAATATTTTCAACTTACAATTCAAATATTTTCCTGGTTTTAAATACTTTACCCGGTTGGTATTGTAACTTTGGACCTTCTGATTGTATTCTCATCGCATGAACTGAAGGATCAGAATATAACACGGAAACGCCAATCATGTTCTTTATAGGCCCTCCAAGAAATTACATTTTCAAGTGACGGCTATGACCTAATGGGCGCAAAAATAAAAACTCAAAAATCCGTAGGGCTTCCAACAAAACCCTAAAAACTACCTGGGCCGAAAATTAACCCCCTAAAAATCCAATGCCGAATTCAAGAGCCTTAAAAATTACCAGAAGGCATTAAATGATACAATACAAAGAATAAAAATATTAGAAATTGAATGTTTGTGTCTGTTTCGATAACTCTTCATAGCAACATTCGAGACAACCAAGAACATCTTCTGTTTTAACAATAACACTATACAGAATAACAACTTCAGATAGTTTTGAATACCCCTAAAAATCCATACTTAACTCAAGCCACCCAAAAACTACTTGCCAAATTTTCCTACCAAAAAATCTGGAATCGAAAATCTCAACCCCCGCCCCTCCCCCCAAAAAATTCCTTCGATCACCTCCGTCACTTGAAATCAGAAGTACTTCCCCATATGGAATCCATATTAAGGTCAACTGACAGCTGTCAAAACAGGGTATCCGCTGACCCGTGTCACATGACCGTATTGCAGGCTCAGGTGCCGACTCATTGAGGTCACGTGAAAAATAAAATAAAACTTGTTCCATGGTCCATAACAGGTAACAAGTAGCAGAGGTAGATCATATAGATCATGTAGATCATATAACTAGAAATTTGCTATGTAATTATTGTAAACCTCTTATTTCAGTGGCCCCCTTTAATCTGCTCTTCGATTGTTTTTAGGGATAGGGGCATTGATATGTGACAGTCCCTATTGTTTTCCCAGCTAATCACAAACAATCTTTCAAATAGGTGCGGGATCGCCCCCTTCATTGTAATTATCTCCTCATTTACTTAAATGTAGCGATTATTGTAATCGGCAATGCCATCTCATCTATTCATATGAAAATGCCAAAAAATTGAATTGAATTAGTTTGTGGCGGTAAATTGATTGAACATTCTGGCAACTCAGCTGATAAATCTGTCATCCTGGTATATTTTTCAGGTGGAATATTTAGCTCGCACTCCTTTCCTCTACAAAAATTTCCCGCAAAATGTTTGCCCGCACGTACAGTACATTGTAATACTTCCTTTGAGTGGCCTGTTGCGTGAAATGACATGTACCACTTAGTGAAATTTACAAAATTCTAATTTTAACATTGACAGGTGATATAAAAGGTCAGCAATGAGTTAGTGGTTCATTGAACTTAAACGGTAGTTGTGTTGAAGTTGCGCATCCACTCAGAGTATAAGATTCGACTGAAACATTCTGCAGAAATGTCTGGCTTCAAGTTGTTCTACTTTCCAAGCCGCGCTGGAGGAGAAAAATGTCGACTTGCATTCGCGGCTGCAAAGATTGACTACGAGGACATTCGAGTCCCAGTCGAAGAATGGCCGAAAGAGAAAGCTTGTAAGTAACATAAAAGTTCACCAGACAATTCCGTAAAGCGCGCGACGGTTAATTTTCGATTCTTTTGAATTTGGTAATCTTAAATAGCTGTTTAAAACGGAATGCGATCAAAGCCGACGGCAAATACACATACATTCGCTTGATTTTCGATCGGGTCGCGAAATACTGGATTGGTAACTGATTGAACTAAAATTGGTTACTCACGCTGACAGGTGTGCTAACTCTTTTTAATGGTTACCGCCGACAACAAATGGTATAATTGATTTTATTATTATTATTATTAATATTATTATTATTATCTCTTTTATCAAAGTCTTTGCTGGTGTTCTTTTTGTGTATCAACTGGGCGCAAACCATGCACCTAGAGCGTCAGTCACTCAAGTAAATCATTCTGTTCATACACTGAGCACCTTTCTTCTTCTTCTTCTTCTTCTTCTTCTTCTTCTTATTATTATTATTATTATTATTATTATTATTGTTATTATTATCATTATTTCATGTACACTGAATTAACCTTACGTTTTCTGGGTTTCGAAGACTGCTACGAAAGAGGGTTGGTCTTTAAATAATAAGAGTTACATTTTTAAAATCGACGAGCTCCTGTAATCTACATTTACTTATAGCTTCTGTGGCGGGAACGTTACTCGTTTTCCGGGAATGAGCCTGGCTTTCTATGTAAAATAATTTTAATGTTACAATTCAAACATTCTCCTGGTTTTTAATACTTTATCCGATTGGCTTTGTAACTTTGGACCTTCTGATTGTTTTCTCTTCACATGAACTGAAGGATCAGAATATAACACGGAAACGCCAATCATGTTCTTAAGAGGCCCTCCAATGAATTAAATTTTTAAGTGACGGCGATGACGCAATGGGCACAAAAATAAAAAAATCCGTAGGGCTTTCAACAAAACCCCTAAAAACTAACTGGACCGAATATTCACCCCCTGAAAATCCCATGCCGAATTCACGAGCCTTAAAAATTACCTGAAGAAGGCATTAAATGATACAATACCAAAAATAAAAATATTAGAAATTGAATGTTTGTGTCTGTTTCGATAACTCTTCATAGCAACATTGGAGACAACCAAGAATATCTTCTGTTTTAGCAATAACACTATACAGTAAACAACTTCAGATAGTTTTAAATACCCCTAAAATACCATACTTAAATCAAGCCACCCAAAAAAACTACTTGCCAAATTTTGCTACCCAAACAATCCCGGAATCGAAAATCTCAACCCCCGCCCCTCGTAAAAAAAATTCCTTCGATCACCCCCGTCACTTGAAATCAGAAGTACTCCCCCCGCTCGAGCGTCCAACGGGCTCCTTCCTCGCGAAGTGGGCGCGTTTGTACAGAAGGAACGTGTGACGAAGCCCTATAAGTTTGGTACGGTGAGGGTAGCGCAAGCACGCGCTATCGTTGAACGCGAACGCAACAAACAAGGGTCCGTCGAAAGCGCTTAATCATTTTTCTGTTTTGCTCGACGGACGACGAGAAAAGAGACTGCTCGTGGTCTAGGTTTGGCCAAATGATCGTGAAAATCTGATGCGTCTCGGTTGGGACTATCCTATAAATCCCAAAACTGAAAAAATGAACGAAATTCGAATTTTGGGCGCGGTCGGGCTGGTCGCAAAATGGTAATGTTCGTCAGATTATACTTTCTAGGGGAATTAACCTTTCATGCGTTTTATACATGAGCCTCCGGCTCGGATATCTGGGACAACCCTATCCCTCGTTATAAAACTAATATATTGATTGGATTAGATTTGATTTGAATTGATTGGATTGGATTCGATTGGATTGTATTGTACCCATAAGCCCCTCCTGGGGTCGAGCGTTGCGTGACGGATGCCATCGTTTACTGCGTCTGCGGCGCCTTGCCGCAAGCGTGATAAACGTCGCGCCCCACCCTTGAAAAAGAATATTTAAGGGATGGCTCACAAGCTGAAGTCTGGTATCGAATACACGTTGTTATGATCAGCGGTGCAGTAGTCTTTGGACTTCTCGCTGTATGTTCATCGAATTAAGAACCCAGGGGAGGAACTTCCTATAATGGCCTAGACGGTGAGGCCTCATCAAAAAGGAGTACCTTTTCAGGTTTCAGGTATATGAAACGGTCGGGGGGTCTGTCATTTCGGCCTGTAAAAGGACCTTAAGGTCTAACAGACGCATTTTATGGCTGTGAAAGCGACAAGAAAACTTCCTGGTTTAGTGATATATTCACATATAAACAAATGGTGCATTTACAGAAGTTCGCAAAAGATGCAGGGGTACCATTTATCATTCAAATTGAAAGGGATGCCTTTTCTGTGAAAAATAGTTTATGTAAGCATGAGGTGTTGGACCTTGGGGTGGAGCCTCCCCGTATAACACTTCATTGAATGCTCCCCCCTCCGCCGGGATTTTGCATAACCAGGGCTACCATTGTTGACTTCTCTTTAGAAAAAACCGCGTCGTTCTACTACTTTTCTGTCTGTTCTGTTTCAGCTGGCAGACCACCTCTTGGTCAAATGCCCTTCATTGTGACTCCTGAGGGAAAAACCTTGGCACAGTCTGGTACAATTATGAAGTACATCTGCAAAAAAGGAGGTGAAGTATTGAACGTAATTTGTTAATCAGCATATCATTCCTGCCGTCGCCTGCGAGCCGTGAGAGACCGCGTGAGCGAGTGGCCCACTCCTCGCGCCGGTGTCTCCTTTTACGTGTTGTTCTCGCGTGACTTTTCGTGACTCCCCCAAAAGGAGAGCTGGCTCCCAGGCTACTCCTGCTCATTAGCCTCCCAAGTAGATGTTTTTAGGAGCTTCGTCATGCGTTCTTCCCCCAAGGAAAGCAAAGCCCTAAGAAGGTCTACGTAAGAGGCTACCTGTCGATATAGTTTATACAAGTTTATTTTTTTTTCTCCCCATTCGATTCATTCATTCATTCATTCATTCATTCATTCATCCATCCATCCATCCATCCATCCATCCATCCATCCATCCATCCATCCATCCATCCATCCATCCATCCATCCATCCCTCAACCCATCCATCCATCCATCCATCCATCCATCCATCCATCCTCCATCCATCCATCCATCCATCCATCCATCAGCCCATCCATCCATCCATCCATCCATCCATTCATCCATCAAACAGTCCGTCCGTCCGTCGTTCGCTCGTTCGCTCATCATTCTTCCATTCTCCCTTTTTTTCTTTCTCTCTCTCTGTTTTCGTTTCTTTTCTTTTCTCTTATTCCTTGTCTCTGAGTCTTTTTTTCTCCATTTCATTCTCTCTTTCTTACTTTTCCTTCTTTTCTTTCCTCTCTTTCTTTTTTTCTTCTAGCTTTTTATTAGTTAAGAAGGCGTATGCTGGATTAGCTTTAATTTTTACTTATGGTGATTAGGTTTGTGCCCAGCTGACAGTTTTGATGAAGCGACAGCGGATATGATCAGTGATGGAGTTAATGATTTATTTCAGCCATTGAGCGACATATACCATGAGAAAGATGAAACGAAGAAGGTATTGCAAAAGTTGATGTCCGTTTCAGTACCCCACATACAGTGTTGTCAGGCTTTACTCCGGACTGCAATTCAGTCGGTCTTTTTCATAAAATCGGTTTTGCAAATCGCTTGGCGCGATATTAGGGAGTTTGAGCAAAGACGTTTTTGAGCGACGCTCGTCAACTGGAAGTGGACTTTTGGTAATATTGGGTCGTGATTTTGAACAAATTTTCTATCAGATCGTCTCTATCAGAATGAAGACACTGAGCTACCGCTCGCGCGCGCGCGCGTTCTTAATCTAGGCAAAACTACGGGCTGTTTTGCAGTCTAGATTTACTCAAACGCCAGTGTTTCGACCCTCAGCGGCATAACATTCTTAATTTGCTAACATTGAGAATTGAACAAGGTCTGGAAGGGTATTTTCGGGATCCTGGATTTGACCAAAATACGGTGCGCAAAATTTCTTGACGGGAAACAAGATTTTACAGCTACCCTGGAAGCGGGATTCGCCAGAAGCGGCAAACTGCGAATCAACCGGGCACGTTTTGAGGGTTGTCTCCTTTCAGACCAAACTATAAAGTGTGCCTTGTTTGTTTTTTTGTTTGTTTTTTTATTTATAGAAACAAAAGAGGAATTCGGGAAAGCGATATGGAAAAAAATAGCGGGATGCGGGATTTTTTACCCCCTTTCACCCTCTTGCAGACCGTGATTGAAGTAAAATACTTGGCTAAAAGAACGTGTTTCACATAATCGCGTTCGCGTCGGGCATGAAAAAGTCTAAAGAAGGCATATAAATTGAAGCCAGGACAGTATGGGGTACTTACTACTTCGTTAGTTGTCTCTGTTCTAAAGAAACGCCTTAGAGTGGTTTTAAAGTAGTCATTCAGCACATACATTAATAAAAGTTTGACCCACACATAATGATATATTTCTAATATAACGCTTGAGAAGTAGGCAAGAATGAAACTTATAGTTTTAGCGGCCGGTATAAAACACCCATAGAGGTTATCGATCCAAATTTATACTATGATGTGAATGCTACACGCGCTGGGATTGGTCGTTGCTCCGTGTACAATCCCGTAGGTTTTACTCCAAATTCTGTTTCCCAGAACTTAGTGTTAGTGATCTATGATTTGTTTTTCTTTAAAAATAAAGGAGGAGATAAAAAAGGAGTTTTATGGAACGACGCTTCCTGCCCGACTCGAGAAATTTGAAGCTCTTCTCAAAAACAGGGATGAAGGCAAAGGCTTCTTTCTGGGCGAAAAGGTAAGATTAGAAGAATGCGCAAAGCGTGCCAAGGGGATTCGGCCTGCTTAGAACACTAACGAGTATAGTAATTAAGTCATAAATAAAACGATAATAGCCTTCGAATTCAGCCGTCTCCCCTCGTTCTCGCCACTAGGGACGCGTCCCAAGCGGCCGTCGAGAAGCGAGAAGAGACGCCTTTATCTGCAGGCTAAAACGATGACCGCTCCCTGAGCCTTCAAAGCTCACCCCGTCCCAAAGAAAGTCTTTTCTAAAAATTTTAATATACAGCAAGGTCAGAACATTTTGCATGGTACTGAGCAGTATAACATCCTAGCGTGACGTCACCCCTTCTGTTACTGAACGTGAGTCACGTTACGTCATTGTGACAACCAAGTTATTACATGATTGAGACATCCTCTCTTGTTCAAAAAAAAAAATCGTTTAGTTATTTGTGTAAATTTAGTGTCGTCAGGCGTTTCATCGGCGATTTTTAATAGGGAGTTTAAGATCCTATGACGGTGACGGCAACAAAAACGTCAAAAAACTAACAGGTTAAGTGAATAGTCACGGCGACAACTCTGCATGCGCAGCACACTTTTTTGTTCATTTCTTTGCCGTCATCACTACACGTTTACGACGCCCGTGGAA